CTCATAAAGTCAAGCAGACGGCCCTCCGTCTCTCCCCTTATTCGCCATCCTCAAGCTCTCCTCCAACGCCCTCTTCAAATCTTCATCGTCCTCATCCGAATACTCATTCAACACCTCCCACGACTCGGAAACATCCTTCCCCTTCCCCTCCCGCGATCCGCTCTGCCGCGTCGCCCGCTTAAACTCCTCCTCCTGCAAGCTCTGTTTCTTGACATACTCGAGCACAATCTCCTCTTCCGTCATCTGCCGTTGGAGCTTCTCCTTGTCTTTTCTAAACTCCTTCTCTGACTCCTCCAGAGCTCGGCGAAGTTGCTCCTCTTCGTCGTCACGGTCATTGCTGTTTCGCTGAGGAGGCGTGCCGCCACTGTTCCCCGGCAGCTCAAACGCTTCATCTCGGGGACTCGGCACAGGCTTCCTCTGCAGATTCCTCAAGGCCGCCTTCTCATCAGCATAATAGGGCTGATACGACTGCCCCTGCTGATCAGCCTGCTCCTCCATCAAGCTCTGCCTCACCGCCTCTTCGATCAAAGCTTGGTATTCCTCATCCGTGATGTTGGTGAACTCCTCATCAGAGATATAATTCCCCTTGAAATCCACCGGCCACCCAGCATCGAACTGCGGCGGCCTCTCGGGGGGTGTATTCTGCCCAGAGGCTCCCCGATTGTCCACAGCCTGTTTCTCCGCAGCCGCCAACGCCCTCTCCGCCGCCTGCCTCCTCATCCCCATAACACTCGCCCTAACCAGTTGCTCAATCGCCGCATCCTCCTCCGGATTTCCATTCGAAGTCCTCTGCACCGACTCCCGAATCGCAGCCTCAATAGCCTCATGATCATCCAGCGCCATCAGCATATTGTTCGTGCTAGAGCTCGCACTCCCTCTGCTCATCCCCCTCTCCGGAGGCGTCACATCCCCAGGTGACATCGGCGACGCCGCTCCTCCCTGATGCGTCCTCCTCCACTCCTCCTTTTGTCTATGCAACTCCTTCCTCTTATCAATACTCAACCCCCTCGTCCTGAGCCATCCCGTCTTTGGCTCTTCCTCCTTGTTATTGCTATTGCCCTCGCCGCTCAACTCCCTATCCTCATTCTTGATATCCTTATACCGGGAGTACAACCCCTTCAAATCATGCCCATCCTGCCTCATCTCCCTCCATCTCGCCAAGATATCCCTCCTCTCCTCCTCGGTCGAGAACTCGAGGTCCTCCTCCCCTTGCTTGGCCCGACTGGCAATGATGTACCCCATCACCTCCGTCTTGGAGAAGTAACTCTTCCTCATCTGAACTTGCACCCCCTGGGAGAAATACGCCGGGATCGACCACAAGGCAGCCGAGTTCTTGAGGAAGAACCCGCCTACTCCCTTGCCAAAACCCTTGACCAGGCCAACGGGGCCTTCCTTCTGTGCGCCTTTCCAGGGCTGGGTAAAGAGGCCAGAGACGCCATCATAGACACCCAGGCTGAACTCCTTGCCAGCTACGCGGACGCCAGAGCTGAAACCGGTGACCTTCTCCACTGGACGGACTGTCTCATCGTGGTAGAGCTTTGGTGCGTTGCGAAAGCCGCGGGCGACGCCCAGGCAGAAGTTGGTGTGGACTTTTGCGCCCACGCCTAGGATGCGCATGGCGCCTTTGCCTGCTCCTACCGCAAGGTCGAGGTTGAAGGGTTCGCGGGTGGGGGAGCTTGAGCCCGATGCTCGGGTTGGGGGAGGGGAGAGCTTGGAGGAGGTGTCGGTCCCGGTGCCGGTGTCGATTCTGGTGAAGGCGGTGGGAGTGGTAGAGTTGGAGCTGATGCTGGCTGCGTCGGCGGCGTGGGAGGTGGTTCGTTGATGAGAGGAGCTGGGTGAGATGGTGCTGGCTGAGATGGAGGCTGCATCATCAACAAGGACGCTGTTTCTGTCGCCGACGATTGTTGACCTGGAGCTCGAGGCTTCACTGTTGCTGCTCTTTTCCTTGGCCTTCTTGTTTTCTTTGGCACCTTTGAAGACTTCTCTGGGGAAATCGGCCACGGCCAAGGTCAAGGCACTGAAGTCTCCAACGAGTGCCGCGGTGGCTGCTGAGACAGGGTCCCAGGGCTGCTCGTCTGTGTCATGTTCTACCGAGCGATGTCTGGTGAAATGTTAGCAAGATATCCTCAGTAACAGATGAAGGTGGAAGGAAGCTTACAGCTTGAGATCCGTATACTTCAGCCATCCCTCCCTAACCAACACCGCCGCCGCCAGCGCACTCAACCTGACATGCGTCCTCCTCACCCTCCAAACAGCAACCCGACTCGGCGCAAGCGAGCATCTCATGTTGTCAGTATTCAAGAACTGATGGAACGTCTTGCCACCCACATCAGCCCCCTTCTCCGCCCTGATCTTCTGTCCGAGCTCCTTCGCCTTGGTCTGTGTACCCGGCTCCAAGCACTTCTCAATAGCAGCGGCGAGGTTCTCGGCTGTCAAAGTCTTGAACGGAATTGGTGCTGGCCCAGCACCAGACCTAGCAATCATGTTGCCCCAGAAGATCTGGTCTCCAAAGAAAGGCACAACGACGGTCGGCTTGCCAGCGTTGATGCCCGCTGCTGTGGTCCCCGCACCTCCGTGATGTACCACGGCCGCCACCTTCTTGAACAGCCAGTCGTGAGGACAGTTCCCGAGCATGAAGACATTATCCGGAAGGCTCAGTGCATCTCCTCCGATGCCACCCCATCCCTTTGATACCAAAGCCCTCACCCCAGTGCGCTTGACGGCATCAAAGATCGTCTTGGTCAGCGCATCAGGGTCATCGACGACAATCGACCCAAAACCGATGTATACCGGCGGCGGTCCAGCATCCAGGAATGCTTTTAACGTCGGGTCAGGCTCGTACCCAGACTCAAGGTTCAGAAAGAAGAACCCCGACACTGACACCTCCTCACCCCAATCCGCTGGCTTGGGAATGAGAGCTGGTGACCAGCAGTACGTAGTCGGTATCCTCATCCGCGAAATCAACCCCGGAGCCCAAAGCAAGCTCAAGCTCTCCAAGTCCAGGACGTTTGTCCTAAACCGGTTGATCACATCTCCCAGCCCCTGCCAAGTCATCATCTCAACCAGGGTATAGGAAACATAATTGGTTAGGACATCATCCGCGTTGGTAGCAATGATATCCGCCAGCGGATGGGGAAACGCCCTTGTCGGTGTCCACGGCATCCTATTCCCACCTGTTAGCAAACCCCTCTCCCATTCAGTCCCAGTAAAGTACTCACGTAAACATGACATGCACCGGCACCCCCAACTTCTCCGCAATATGCACATGCGCAAAGCTCGGCGGGTTTGCAATGATCGCGTCCGCCACGAACGGCCTATCCCCCTCCCCGCCCTGCGTGATACAGCTCCTCCAGCACCCCTCCAGCATCTCCTCCACTCCCTTCCTCCTCCTCCTGATCTCCCCCTGCCTCAAGGCCTCGAAGCCAGGCATCAACCCCGGATGCTTCACCATAAACGCCATCAGCTCCGCCGGGTCCCCTCCAATGTCAAAAAACTCGAGGCCATTCTCCTCGACGAACTTCTTAAACGTCCCATGTGTGGCGATCCGGACCCTGTGGCCATATGTATCCCTCAGGACCAAGCCCAGCGCAATAAAAGGCTGGACATCACCTCTTGACCCGACAATCTGAATAACAACGTTAAGCTTTGGGGGCGGCGTCTGTCCCGGCAGACCGCCAAGGTTAGGGGGGATATACGGCGGAGGAAGGGGACCAGAAGGCAAGGGGGGCAAAGGAGGGGGTTTTGACCTCTTGGCTATCGCAGGCGCAAGAAGCGTAGACAAGCGCCGGTTCTTCTCCAGCAAATGGATCGAGACGCGGCCAGTGGCTTCAACGGTCATTGTGTTAGTCGGCTGGCAAGAGATTACGTATATCCACGCGATGACATAGGTAATATGGTACAGAGGTAGGTTAAGAAGGGATTCTGGGTAGCGGTCAAGAAGAAAGAGGATCGCAAAAGGGGTGTAAGTAGGAATGGAATCGGGCGGGCATGGGCGAGGGTAAATTGTGATACTCACAAGTTACAGCGGCGTCGGCAGCGAATCCGTTTTGCGAGAGCTGTAGCTGATCATGGTGCTCGCCTTCTCCGTAAGCCGGGGGGGCTACATCCAGGTTCTCGTCCTCGCCTGCCATAAGATCTTCATGGGTTGGGATTGCGTTTGTCCTACGCGGGCCGTCTGACGGTGGCTGCTGAGCTTCTGACTGTTGCGGCTGTGAAGACAACCGCTGTCTAGACAGTCTGGAAGGTGATCTAGGCGGTACTGGTGGTGGCCCGGAACGGCCGGGATTGTCGTTGCCTGTCATGGTGTTGGCGATGATGAGTGTGAGAGTGACAGGTACAACTGTCTGCGGATAGCGAACTCGACCAGTTGTATTCCAAGTATCTTTGTCTTGGGGATTCGGCTTCAAAAACAGTAGGAAAGTGAGAAAGGAATGCTGACGACAGCAAGCTGGTATATGGGTCGTGGGCTATGTCTGTCTTGTGTAAGGTGTGGGAGGTTAGGTAAGACAGGCAGGGCGACGCCGAAAGGAAGAGGGAGAGGTGAACGTAGTGGTCCGGTCCGTCGGGTTCAAAAGTCCTTCCCGGGTGTGGTATTTGATTTGTCGCTCGTGAGGTGCTGACCAACGAGAGAGATGGTCGAGGGAAGGCAGATGTTGTAAGAAGGGGCAGGCTGAGAAGATGATGCACAAGCAAGGTACTTTTTCCACGAAGAAAGCGAGCAGTGTCTTGATGAGACGGGACGGGATGAGGAAAAAAGTACATATACAGGGAAAGAGTTCACATTTCTCGAGGTCCTACCTGACCGATGTCATGCCCAAACACCGGGCGCTACGGTCGGGTCTAGCCACAGCCATACAAAACCATCAAAGCTATACGCGGAGACGGAGCCTACGCAGTTGAGCCCGTCTCCGCTCCACGGGCTATGCGTTGTTGCTTTGATGCAGTGTTCGTTGGATGACGCAGCGAGTGTAAGTGTGGCGGGGCATAGAGCGGGAGCGGGCCTATCACTCCTGCGCACAGTGCCGACCCATTCAGCGGCTTGTTCCGGAGCCCTGGAACGGTCGGTGGTGTGCCGTTGGGTGGCATGTTTCAGGGGCTACCACCTATAAAACCGCACTGTGTGCACTGTGAAGCCCTACGCGCGTAAGGGGGGACCATCTCAAGAACTCGTTCCCAGGCAGCCTACGAACCTATTACGCGTATCAAACACACCACCTCCACTCCTCAGCCTCACTTCTGAACATATATTTCGGCATAATCCGTCACTGGCTCTCGTCATGTTTTTGATGAAATGCGACATTAACACCGACTGGCTACCACATAAGAGCAGAATGAAACCGACTAACAGCAACCAATCCCTTTTCGATAAAACACCACGAACTAAAAACGAATACACGGAAAGCAACAAGGAACAGGCCTGCTACGTCGACTCCTTGCGTTGAAAACACCCAACCCGCTTAACTATACTACCGTCATCTTCCTCATAATGCCATCATTCAAGAGTGCTGGTCGTCCTCGGGGGGCGCAGCACCACCCGTCGTCGGCAAGCCCATGAAGATTTTGAAAGAGTCCTGAAAAAGGGGTCAGCAAGCACATTCACAGGTCCTCGACAGAAAGACGCAAAAACTCACATAAATCATCCACTGCAAACCAGTGAGGGTACCAATCATGACGATTCTGACTGGCAGACCGTTCCAAAGCCCCTTGAAGCCGATGTCCTTGTAAATTCTTGATGTCACAGCACCGAATCCCTCACCGGCCTTGCGGTAGGCATTCAGCTTGCTGACCATGACGTCGGCAGGATGAGACACGATGGCGCAAAGAATACCTGCCAGGTAACCACCAGCAAAGGCCACTCCCGTCTGCGCGCCCTTGCTGTAATCACTCTTCTGGCCAGGGAGGCGAGCGTAGATCATTTCGACAATGGTCTCAAAGGAAGCGAACTTCATCATGGTATAGGGGATTTGTCTTCCCCACAACGGGTAGAGACCCTTGTACAGGCCACCGACGCCTTCAGCAGCTGTGATGGTGCTCAGGCCGTTGAGTGTACCCGAATACTGGGACGGGATAGTACCCTGCATCCGAACCTTGATGGCCTCAAAGGGGCAGAGCGCGATATCGGCCAGAAACTCGGCCGAAGCCGAGGCAGACAGGTACAACGCAGTCTTGTACTTGTGAGCCGCCTCGGGGCCAGCAATGTCGGCGTAGGTCTTCTTGAAGTATTCATACCAGCCGTACTTGAACGCACCCTGAGCCGAATAACCGACGAGGGTTGGACTCCAACCGACAAAGATGCCCCGGAAGCCGTCGGTTCGGAGGATATGTCTCCAGGCCTGGAAATTTCCTGAATAGAGCTTGGAGTCAATCTGGCGCCGAGTCTTGACAAGATCCAAGGGAGTGACTGCAGTATGGGTGAGACCCTATAATCATGGTGCTTGTCAGCTTGCGCTTCCAAATATTGCTCCCACCATGTTACTTACACAAGCCAGCAAGCCGCCGAATGTGCAGGCAGCGTAGTATTTCCCAGAGTAGAGCTCGATACTGCCGGTTTTAGACTGAGCCTTCTTGCTGGCGGCATTGAATTCTCGGCTGGCTTCCTCGCTGAGCTTTTTCGCCTTGCTCTTCGCATCATCGGCAATGGAGTAGGCAGGATACAAATCGAGGCGAGCTTCGAGGGGAGTTCGTGAGTTGGTTGGGCTTGGTGTCGGACCGCTACCAAAGGTCTTTTGGAGCGTATCGAACGCAGGGAATAGGGGCGCCATCTTGAGGGTTCCTGGTGTCAAGAAAATAAGGTGTAAGTGACAAGTCCAAGCGCACAGGAGAAGCTGCTCCGATCCATGACATCCGCGCCCAAGCTGAATGGATGCAGTAACCAAACACACAAGGTCAAGCAAACGTACCGATTGCGATAATTAGATTGGCAATAGATTCTAGGAAAGAAAATGTAAACGAGGATATAATCTGATCGATCAACACGGTCGAAATCGCTACCGAGTAGAAGCTCTCAATTGAGGGAATATTTAGATGCAGCAATCCGGAGTTAAGAAGATGAGACGGAATCCGGGAAGGATCAGACGGTAGGATAATAACATGCCTATCAATAACAAGGAAGGCAAGGCTCAGTTACACAAAGTCCGAGCTGGCCGGCAAAGGTCGGGATCGGATGAAGGGTTACAAGATAGCTCAAACATGCTACAAGATGCCTGGCGATACGCTCAGTTTGAATTTATGATGCTTTATCCGGTTCTCCCGTTCGACCTTTCTGGATCACATCCTCCAATTCAGCCAGTAGCGTTCAACATTCACATCGCAAAGTGCCCGTCAAGTGACGACATTGCCCGGATTCTGACAGCCCAAAACCGGTGACGTCGTTTGGCGGGGCAGCTTCAAGAGCCAACCACTTTATCGCGGCTTATCGCGAAGCCATAACGGCTGACTATGCCTATGATTGCTTGGTATGATTGACACTTTCGACCCGCTGTCGCAATGCAGTTGAGGAAGCAAGTCATTGCTGAGACTTTCACCGGCGATATCCGCTTCTCCTCTAGCCATATAAAATCACGATATCTTCTCCCGTCGTTGTACATGAGCACCTGTAGAAAGAGGAATAGCTCCTATTTAACCCCAGGAAGCACAAGCACTGGCCACTTGAAGTATCCCCCACACATTAGCTAATTACATGTGATTGGCCCGCAGGGAGCACCCGGGCCACTGTCAAAGACTCGTTCCAGTCTCTCTGACGCTCACCTCATCCACTTGACCGCCGGTGACCACGAACTGACACAGATGTCGGAGTGACCTCAACCTTTCGATTAACATTTTTTTTTCTCGGCGCTACACTTGACTTTCACCGAAGCCTTTTTTCTCCCGGAAAATTTAGCAACGATTCCTAAAAAAAACATAAAATGGCCGACGTAATGTCTCAACCATCACAGCCATTCGTCTCCAAGTGGGCGTCCCGGTATCGCGGGGTAAAAATTCCTATTTCCCTCCCCTCTCATGATCATCATCATCATCTCTAACCTTCCCCCTCCCCATCCCATAGGCAACAGTAGAAGACCTCGACCCACCCCCCGCCCTCTCCCTCACCCCCTCCGACCCCATCTCCCTCGCCCTCCTCTCCGCCTTTGAGCGCGACTACACCCACCTTACCATCGTCTCCTCCTCCAACCGGGCCCTTTTGGGGTACATCTCCATCCCTCACCTGCAATCCCTCCTCGAGTCAGGGAAATGCAAACCCGAAGATGAGATCAGATCGGCAATGATCAGGTTCCAGCGCAAGGGGGCACGGTACACAGTCATCACCATGAACACTCCTCTCGAGGAGTTGGAAGGGTTCTTTGAGGGCAAGGACAATGGCGGGCAGAAGCAGGATTTTGCCGTGATTACGGATAGCGGGAGGAGGTTTGTTTTGGGGGTGGCGACGAGGGAGGATTTGGAGGAGTTTGTCAAGAGAAGGCCTGCGTAGAATGGCTGAACAAGGGATGGTGTAGAGGAGGCGATATGTAAGAAAGGGGCAACGAAACAGAAGAGGGTTTTCATTACGGACTGGCGTTGAAGGTGGTCGCAAATTCAGGGGGGCATTCAACATGGAAAATGGGCATTGGGATTAGGAATGGGAGGGGGGTTGATCTCACACAGAATACCCAAGCTATCATACACAGGGGGGCTCAGATTCCCCTCGGAGCTCGCGCATTTGGATTTATTCTCTTGCCCATAGGTGAAGGCAGTGATGTACATGGGCGCAATAGGCATCTGGACAACTTCACCAGACGCACAAAGGTACTGTAGTAGCTTTAACTTGGGATGATGATCTTTGGGCGTTCCAACTTGTAGCAAACAAAAACTAGCGATACAAAACTCCTGCAGTACAAAACTCGCGTGCAAGACTACCTGGTACTCAAAGCCGATCTACCACCCTTCTTCTCTTCTTTTACTTTCTGACACCCTTGATTTACTCAAGGTAGTCATAGTAAAGCTGCAACTCAACCCTCTCGCTCCCCTTGGCAATCACCACATTTCTCGCATACCTCCTCTTGCCATCGCTGCACTCCTTGAAACCCCAGATCTGAGTGGCGGTCCACCCGGCATCGTAGCTCTCGACATAGCTGAGGAGGTGAGTCTCGCCGTTGGGACCGCCCTTTTCGGCGTCGGTCTCGATCCAGCCAGACTTGAGGAAGTCGTCGGTGATCTCGGCGGTGGAGATCCACTTGGACTGGCCCTTGACGTGGCCGAAGAGCCAGTCGGAGTGGTCGCGGAAGGTGTAGTCGAGGCAGCGCTTCTCGGTCGAGCCCTTCATGCCGCCGGTGCCGGTCTGCTCGATCTCGACGTGGGTGAACTGGGTGGCCGAGGGCTCGGCCGGGGGGGAGGCGGGGGCGGAGAACTGCTTGATTTCGAGGGTCACGGTTGCGAGGCCGACCATCTTGCGGGTCATCCAGCCGACGCCTTGGAGGGCGAGGCCGGGCTCGATGGGGGTGGAAAGGGTTTTGTTCTAGTTTGAGGCGTTTAGTAAAAGTTTGAGGAAAAGGGAGGGGGAATAGAGGAGCATACCATAACCCACTTTCCATTGAGGTCACCAATGGTCTTGGAGGCGGGAGCGGCCATTTTGAACGGTATGTATGTGTATGTTGTGGTGTGTAAGTGATGGGGGGGATTTGGAGTAGTTCAAGGCAAGCTTGCGTTCTTTAATGGGAGAAGCACAAGTGTGTGAGGGTATACGTAGTGTGGTGTAAGATGGAAAAGATGGAATGTGATGTGAGACAGGAAAAGGCCCAACAAAGACAGAGGGACTCGGTTCTTATTATATTCCTACCTTTCTCCAGCCCTCTCTCTCTCTGGTCTTTCCCCTTCTTTCGATCTCTACTAGCTAAAGGTCTTGGTACATCTGCTAGTGGGGTAGAGTTGTAAGATATGGTACCTACCCAAGCTTGTCACAAGGCGGGGAGTCGCAGCAGAGCGCTCTCATGAAACTGGGGGCCTGCGTGTCTGGGCGGCCGAGGTTGTGACTTTGGCTTCTGCTCTAACATATTCACAAGCATGCGCAAGTAAAACGCAAGGACAAGGCTTGCACGCGGGAAGCATTGGCTTCGGATGGATCCCCTGTTTGGAGGATATCGGCCGCGGCGGGCGATCCTAAGTATGACGCAGCGTTGCATGGCGCGGGGATTGGGGGGGGAGGAAGGGACTTCTGGCAGCTCGTTTTGTGATCGTGACCTCGTGGCCTCTATGGCTTGGTTTGTTTTGTGAGGCTTGCTGCTTGCTTTGGTTGGGTTGATGCTTTGCTGCTGCGGCCGGCAGACCGGGACAAGACTTGCATTGCATGTCCTCCGAGTCCGATTCAGCGAAATGCCAAACATTGAACCAACACTATCAGACTAGTTTCACGCTCCGGAGAATGCCAGACAGACGGCCGCTGAAAACGGTGGCCAAAATCGTATGCGCGGTACATCCGCTAGACCGCGTGCCTCGACTCTTCCCGTCCAGATAAACTTTCTGCTACTTTCAGGAACCCTCTCGGGAGTCCCCGTGCGGTTGTGCCTTTGCATGTAACCAATTATCTGGATCACTTCCCAACACATGTAGGTGTTGAAGCGTATCAACTTCATCTTCAAGAACAGGAAATCACCACGTCCCGGCCCCTAGTTCGTCAGGTCTCTGGTCAGGTTCATGCTTGATGATCAGGACAGCTCGAAATGAAGCGGCCCCTCCTCCCCGCCTCCCTCCTGCCCACCAAGACCAAAGCCAAGAATCCCACCATGAATAGTGCGGGGTAAAAATAGTGCTACCACCGAGGTTCCATTTTCCACGTGAAAGCGCTCTTGACAGTTGTTGAAAGACCAATGCTGGCTTCACCTTCAGTGGCTGACAACAGTGCAGTAATCCAAAGATGAAGTTCAGGTCCATTGTTTGAACTCTTTGATATGTTTTGAGTATTATTCCAATGTAGTAAGTAGTAGTATATGCTGTAACACCAGCTCATGCAGTATTAACCTAAACCGTTCCTTGCCTTGCCTTCCCTTCTCGATCCCCTACCGACCACAGCGCTAAACTAAAAAGAAAACAAAGATTATTCTGAGTCGGTATATCCTAGTATTACATTCGACGTGCCTCCCCCGAGCCTCCTAACTCCCAGGGGCAAGATGCGCCTCTCCCTCCCCATACATTAGCTCCGCATCGCAAACCCTCGCTCGGTGACGGCCTGGTCACATTTCCCAAGAACCCCATCCATCACACGCCTTGGGGTTGTATTTTCCCCCGTTTCTCTTAAACGAATCCTAGACTATCCCTTCCCCAACTCCAGGACATCCACCAGGGTATATAAGAACTCCTCAAGGCCACCACTTCATCTTCTTATAACTCTCAATCACCTCCTCCACCAGCTCCTTCGAAATCTTGGGCTTCTCATACGTGAACCCAACCACCTCTTCTAACCTCGAGCCGTCCATGCTCAGGTCGGTATCTTTCAATAGCTCCTTCTCCATGAAAGGCGTCAGAGGTCCCGGCCTGGTGATCCCAGCTTCCGCAAGAAGATCAGCCCACGGTCCCAAAAGCTCATCGTTGACATCGTCCACCACACTGTCGAGGTTGAGCTTGGCGAATGTGCTGATCAACGATCCCTGGAAGCCCGTGCTGATGCCGAACACCTCCCCGATAATATCAGCCATGGTTCCCTGAGTTGTCACTCCCTTGTCGACCACGTTAAAAGTTGGCACCTTGCCCATCTTGCCGTCGTCCCACTTGGCCTTTCCAGCTGTGTACCAGCCCGTGATGGCCCACAGAGCCCTCGAGACATCGTCAATGTGCACTGTGTTTTGGCGGAGGTCCTTTGTCCAGAGCCACTTCATTTCTGACTCGAGGGCCTTGTACACCCTGGCCATGCAGAGAGCTGTAGCGACCCATTGAGACGCATATGGGCCGTAAACATGGGCAAGTCGCACAATGACGAGGTTCAAGCTGCAAACACGTTAGCCACTGTTCCAAAACAAGACAAGATCATAAAGCAACAAAACATACCCCTCAATCTTGGCCAACTCCTCCTCAGCCTGCAGCTTGAAAACCGCAATCTTGCTCCAGGGCTTCAGCTTGTCCTGCTCCTTACTCGGTGACGAATCGGGCTTGTACACCATCCCCGTGCTCAACTCGACAAAGCACTTGACACCTCTCTTCGCCGCTTCCCTTCCTACATTCAGCGACAAATCAAACGACCGCAGCTTGTACACCTCATCCTCCTGTGAATAGCGAGTCTCTCCACCGCAGTTGAACACATAGTCAAATTGTTTCCCGTCCGCGCGGTCGAATATTCTAGGGAGCGATTCTGTTTGAACTGGTCAATATATGCGAGAAAGCTTGGTAGGTTTAGAGAGAGACATACGCTCTCTGCTCGCATCTGCCTGCACGAACTTGGCGCCGGCACACGCTTCCTCAAACTCTGAAGGCAACCACGCGAGCTGCGGGAGCACCTTGTCGACGATGCGCACGTCGGACGCGAGATTACTTTTGTGAATGTGCTGGGCGAGGAACCGGCCAATGTAGCCAAGACCGCCGATGATCAACACCGACGGTTTTTCCGCCATGATGTCTCGTTTTTGGGGGGTTTTCGGTCTGTCGCTGCCGAAGTCTCGGAAAGGAAGGGGGGACGCAAGGGCGGGATCGCGCGGAGTTTACTTATTTGTATATGTCTCTGGTAAAACCGGTGGCGTATGTGGTAGGTATTAAGTAGCTGTCTTTTGAAGCAAAATCGAGATACTATATGTGCCGTCTTTCGTTCGCGAAAATGGAGAGCAACCTGGACAACCTGGAAAGTCTGAGTGCGCTGTTGAAAAATTTCGTGCGTGTTTGGGTCGGAGCTCCCGAATGACGCAGAGAACAGGGAGTTGGTGTGTTCGAGAAATTCGGGAGAAGGCAAACAGTCAGGGGTTTGTGTGGGAGGAAGGATTATTGGTGGTCAAGTGAACACCCAGAGAAAGCAAATGGGAGAAGAGAGAGGGGGGGGGGGTGTTTGAGGGGGTTGAGGGGATGATGCCCAGGATATCAACCTCTACTTGTCGTTCGTTTCGCTCCACTGTTGCCGCGAAAACCGAAAAAGGAATGCAAGCACCTGCACGACGGCGTGTGTGTTGCTGTGAGCCCAAGACTTTCTCCTTTGAGGTGCAGTTGATAGACTGGGTCCCGGGGTTGGTTCTCTCCACTGTTTCTTCCTGGTGACGGCTTTTCTGGGGCTTCAGGGCGTTTGAAGCAGGTTTTGAGTAAATATCGACCCCGTTTCCCTATTGCAGGCTTATTAATAGCTCGAGGTTGACAACAAAATGTGTGAAGGGAGAGCCGCCGATTCGAACGGATTGCCAAGCAGGGAAGCCCACTGTTGGATTTGATTGACTGGGGCTGCGGTGGGTGGAGTTCTTATGCAAACCGCAGATGGTCAGGAGACTGATATTACTTCGTAGGTATTGCCCGAATTATAGCGGAAGGGAAGAAGGATAGCTGCGGTGTGGGTGATGGGGATCTGATATTGCGACCTTCTTCAAGTCACCAAGCATGGATGGATGGTACCCGTACGACCTGTCAAGAATTGGGTCGTCTTGTCTCGTCTTGTTCATCCGAGCTCTGACCTGCTGTCAGTCTGCAGGCCCGGGACGGTGTCTCTCCTTTCGGCCGCACGGGGTCCCCGGTGGACCTAGCTTGGCTTCAGCTGCTCCCGCCTCCTTCCCATCCCATCATCAACTCTCTGCTGAATCTTATTATTATTGCCTCGCTCGGTCCCAACGATTCTGCAAAAAAAAAGTTGCAACGCTGTGTTCAGAAACAGATGCCATCAGGGGTCGCACAGCATCAACAAGAGACACGCCGGCACCGCCAACCCGAAACATAGGGCACACTACGTCCCACAGCCAACGCCCTGCCCCGCTTGATCATGGATGAGTCTCTCAGAAACTATCAGTCCTCACACGCAGCATCACGCACGAGACACAGCGTATCGCGCGGTTACCACGTCCGGCAAAAGGATCACCCAGAGAATGCAGCTTTGGGAGGTCTGTGCGGTTGCAGTTTTCGATTCCTGTCTATTTCTGCACCTCTGCATCTCTGGGTTAAAGATCGGCTTGGCCCTCCCAACCATCCCCCTTTTCGAGCCACACTGCTGGCCCCTTTACGATAAAAGCTGTCATGACTTTCTTCTTTCCAGCAGGTCACAAATCCATGATCGGTTGGGTCGCTGCACCGCGCCGTACACGGTATATCAATCGTCTCGCCGCCTCGGGCCGTCGGGGTTCATCCTAGAGGTCAGATGTTGCTGGAATATCCCGCTGAAATCTCAGCGGCAGCAGCCAGGAACAAGGTGGTGACGGCACACTCCGCCAAGGAGAATCCCTTCCCGCTCAGGGGCAAACACCTCCCAGTGATCCCACCTCCTGCATTAGGCGCTACTGATTCCTTCTGGAAGCCTTCCTCTATGGGCCAGCTTTGGGTTGCATGGCGTCTCCCATTGAAACAGAGTCTGAGTCAAGGTGCACTTTGGCAAAAAAGACACAACAACGGTTCGAGGTTTTACGAGCATCATGAAGTCGTGGGTGCTGACAATCACCAAAACTGCCATCTGATACTCTTTGCAATTCTGGGTTCCGTGATTCAGGGGCATCCCGAGCAAGGCTCTCGGTCTTGCTGCCAAAATTCCCAAGCCCGAGCTGATACAACAACAGATTACCGACCCGATATCCCGTGTACATCACGAGGCTTGTCAACCCAAAAAACACGACTGGCATTTTCACTAAACAGGGGACTTGAGCAAACTCCTGGTCAGTGCGTTTGATGATTTGCCAGGCATGTCAGGCCAAGGTGCAACCCTCCGGCCGAGGCGACGGATACACCGGGATATTCTCATCAGCAGCAGCAGTGTACTGTGTCACGCTGGCGGGTGTCTTACTCAGTCACCTTACCTCGCTGATGATTACTATAGAGTTGCCTCACCGCAATTGTGGCCAATCTCTTAAAAGCCAGATTGGGACATGCTCGTCCCATTGTCATCAAGTCTAGAACTTTGAAAATGTCAGCTTTCGGAGATACTAAAGCTCAAGATAATGGCCCCCAAAGTCTTCTAGAGTTGGTATTTGCCGTCATAAGCGAGGAAAGCTGTGGTGTCACACTTCGCCTGCCGGCACTCGTTCCTCCGAGTAAAAAGCAATAGACGGGGAGCAGACAACCAACGTTCATCATGGTGGCATCATGTTTCGTTAGTCAGTTGTTCATGACAAAGTCGGTGAGGATTACTAGTCCTGACAACCTCAAGAAAGGACTGCTCCTTCGGCGTTCGGGGAATCTCAAAATACATGCTACAGAGTAGAGCCGACGACGACAACTTCAGCTCACCGGAAGGACCCCCGATGTGGCATGCAAAGCGCGGCTGCTTCCGTTCAGTCGGTTCCCACCAACCTGGAACGAGTCCTGCAGATGTCGGTACCAGAGTCCAGATCGTCCTGGACCACCTGAAAAAAGCGTCGAGATCTTGAAAGTCCCTGGAGAGTCCCAGCCTCCCACCTCGTGCAGTTGAAGAAAAAACCAGGGCCGCCGATCCGTGTCATATGCAGGTACCTTCCACGTGCGGTTAAAAACGTTCGGTCCTCGCCTTCGCTTGGATATCGTTGTTGAGTAAAAAGTGTCAAAAGTGATTGCAGACAGTGGGGTTCGAACCCACGCATCTCTCGATAATGGTGATAAAAGTTATATGTAACTTAAAACCATCGCCTTAGACCACTCGGCCATGTCTGCTTTCATGACAGGTTTGCATACTGATGTTGCTTTTGGGTCCATATCAAACCTCCTGGAAGGAGTGTTGTTGTTGCGAAGTCCAAGTAGAGCTAATCCCATACCGGCAATGACGGGGTGGCCAGACCCAAAGGGATTCCAATACCGGGGTAAGGGAAGGCCTGAAATAGGAACAGCTAATCTCCCCCACAGGGTCTCTTTGACCTTACCAGGTGACGCAATACTAGATCTCTTCGGCATACCCAAAACGGTTAACGGTAACGGCAGCGAGGTTCTCGGCCTTGGTGTCGGCGGCCCGCCTGCTGCTGCTCCTCCTCCAGCTCGGCGCCATGTGAAATCATCACGGCCCTTTTTATTTTCCCAGCTGAAGCATCATTGTCTCGGGCCACCCGGAAACTAAACTGACACCTGCCCAAGACACCGGTTCAGCCTCTCCCACTATGGGGAAATGGCTTCAAGACCCCCGGGGTAATAAAACGATATATGATGTCAACAGCTTTGTCTTTGTTTTTTAAAAATGAATAAAAAAAAGATGTCAAACCTCGATGTCGCTAATTCAAAGACAACGAACCAAATCTACATGAGCGCCCGCCTCCTCATTACCACTTCATCGCATCACGACACATCTTCCCCCTGGTTCTATCTCCGCATACTCCCAATCAGCTCCCTCTGTGTCTCCCTGTCCTTCTGCCCTTGGCTCAAGCTGCCAATGCTTCTCAGATCACCCACCACATCCTTCGCCTTGCCAAAGTAGACCTCCTGCAGCAGGTTCCTCATCTTGAGCTCCATGTCCTCGACAAGGCGGCCAATGTTGGCAATGTGGCTCTCGTCGCTGTCAACTGGGAGGTCCTGCTCCACCTGGCGCGTCATGTTGCCGGACAAGTCAACTTCGCCGAGGGAGGCGCCCTTGGTAGCAAGGGTAAGGATGACGGTGGAGGTGAGGCGGTAGTTGGAGGTGCGACCGCGCTCAGAGGCTTCAAAGACGTGGATCGAGTCCCAGACACCCGAGGTGGTAGCGTCGCCTTGTGGGGAGGCTGTTTATCACCTATTAGCACATGTTTTGTATTACACACTCCATTGTAGAAAAAGAATCGCATACCCTTCTTCAACAACACCACACCAGCAAACCCATCATCCAAGTTCCAGAAATAAACCGAGCTCACCCCCCCCTCGTAGTACAGCTCTCTGTAGACATCAAACGCCTCGTTGGCCTTGATTTCCATTTTTCTTACACGCTCGCCTGGAACGGCACCCTCGCCGGCGCCTTCATTGCTGCCTCCTGCGCCAACGCCGCCAGCGCCGGCTTCGTCGAGGGGGGGGTCGAACTGGTTGGACCAGGGGGAGCGGTAAGAGTCGCCGTCACGGTTGTAATCGCAGAGGAGGTAGTCACGGCCGGTTTGCTTGCAGCGCTGGACGGTGAGCGGCTGGTCGACAGAGGAGAGGAGCTCTTCGGCGAGGTCGGGGTGGAGGGAGATGATGTTGGAGAGGTGGTCACCGGTGTGTTTTGGGTTGAGGCGGCGGAGGAGGTCCCTGTTTGTTGCTGTTCAGTATCGGGATGAGCTAGGTGGGAGGGGGCAAACCTACAGTGCACAGTCGAAGGGGTCTTGGGAAGCCATTGTGACGAATGGTTTTCTTTGGTTTGATTATCAGCTGTAGCTTGTAGGTGACCTTTGGGTAGTTCAACGTCCAGCGGGGTCGGGTCGGAGGTGAGCTCTCCCCAGACACACGGCGGCGGCGGCCTGAAAGCCGTTGTGGAGAAACCGATGGCGGGGTTTGGGCTGTCAAGGGTGGGCTCGTGCGCTGCTCCAGCGTTTCGGACAAGGGTCCCCTAATGGCCTGCCGGGCTGCACGTCAACGTCAACAATCTTGGGTTCTTGAACATTCTTATCAAAATCAAGGGATGGTCTTGATGCTCAGGAATTGGCATCATGGCTTCTCAAAATCTGCCCTCAGAGGGTGCAGTGGTGAGGAAAAATGAGAAGGCATCAGGTCCCGGCCTTGATTCTAACGGTCCAGGTTTGAAGTTGCTGGGTGAGTGAATGAGTTCAGGTCAACTAACAAGATCATAGACACCATCCTCTCAGCTTCCATACCAGCCCTCATTCTCGTCCATCTCATAATGGCTCCTTACACCAAAGTTGAGGAATCATTCAACATTCAAGCCACACACGATGTGCTTGTCTACGGAACCCCCAGTTCAAACATCCACAGCAGGCTGTCCCACACCTACGATCACTTCACATTCCCTGGTGCTGTTCCACGAACCTTTGTCGGCTCAGTGTTGTTGGCCGGTATATCACAACCCATCATTCTCATTCTAGGCTTCCAGCATGCACAGATCATCATTCGTGCCTTGCTTGGTCTATTCAATGCCTTCAGCTTACACATCTTCACCCGCAACCTTCGCCAAGCCTACGGCCCTGCTGCAGCAAGATGGTATCTCCTCCTCCAAGCCAGCCAGTTCCACGTCTTATTCTATGCCTCACGCACTCTCCCGAATATGTTCGCCTTTGGCCTCACCACCCTGGCCAGTTCTTACCTGTTACCAACCCCCAAGAACATCAAATCGACACCCCGTCGCCAACGTCTAGCGATAACAATGTTCGTCTTCGCGGCAGTCATCTTCCGCTCTGAAGTTGCCCTGCTCCTTGCTACCAACCTCCTTTACCTCGTCTTGCTGCCTGCCATCTCCATCGAACAAATCATCTTCCCCTTTGCGGCATCGTTCGCCATTGCTTTGGCAAGCTCAGTCCCAATCGACAGCTATTTTTGGCAAAAGCCCATATGGCCGGAACTATGGGGCTTTTACTACAACGTCGTCGGGGGCAACTCCTCAAACTGGGGGACGTCACCATGGTATTACTACTTTGTCTCGGCTCTACCAAGACTACTCGTCAACCCACTTTCTTGCACAGTTCTCATCCCTTATTCGCTATATCACCCTGCCTTGGCGCCCGCAGCGAAGAAACTTGTCATTCCGTCATTACTCTTCGTCGCCATTTACTCGCTCCAGCCCCACAAAGAAGCGAGGTTCATCTTCTACGTCGTCCCCTCCCTCACAGCAGCCGCTGCCCTCGGCGCTGCTACTCTCTCCCGGAAATCGCAAGTCCTCACCCTTATTCTCTTCGCCTCAGTGCTCGCATCATTCGCCATCTCAACTGGGATGTTGCTCATCTCATCACTCAACTACCCCGGCGGCGAAGCCCTTTCGTACCTCGCCACCTCCCTGGCTGAATCACCATCCACCAGCTCAGGGGAGGTAGTCCCCATTCACGCAGATGTCCTCTCCTGCATGACGGGTGTCACCCTCTTCGGGTCTTCCTCCGCGGCGGGATCGGCGTTTCCAAAGCTGGAGCCGGATGGGGGGTTGATCTTTCATGAGAAGGGCAGCCGGGGTAAGGGGGTTGTTATCAAGGTTGATAAGACGGAGGATGAAGGCGATCTAGTGCAGGAGGAGTTTTGGAGGGGGTTTAGGTATGTTTTGACGGAGGATCCTGACAAGGTGAAGGAGAGGAGTAAGGGGGTTGAGTGGGAGACTGTTGGGGTTGTGAGGGGGTTCGGGGGGGTGGAGGTGTTGAGGCCGGGTCAGGAGGGGCAAAGGGGGAATGTAGGAGAGGTGGTAGGGAAGGGGAGGGTGGTGGAGGCGGTGAGGGATAAGGTGAGAGGGTTGACGGGCGGTTGGTGGGTTGGGCCGGGGATGGTGGATAGGATTTGGATTTTGAGACGGGGGAGGGGTGGGAAGGCGGGGTGGAAGGTACGGGAGGAGAGTTCATAAGTTAGGGGGTGTATGTTGTCTGATAAATGATGGTTTCGTCTATCAAAGGTACTCGAATACAAGACGTCTGTTTTTTAACTTTTGCTGGCCCCTAACCAGCAGTACCAGCCCTCGAAAGAGGCGCTATTTACTTCGCCGACAACAAGTAATTGAAGTCAAGGTTATTACACCAAGTCCCCGGCTGCTCTGACTCTCTTTCCGACGCGGCTTTGAGTTTGTACGCGTTGGCTTCAAGCTAAGCAAGCCACTAGATTACCTTGTTCCTGCTTGGGGCTGTGCAGCTGGCTTATAAGGTTCGATTTCAGACTGGGCTTTTGGCGAAGTAGTGGACTCAATGAAGCTCGTTGGATGAACTCACCTTGCCCATGTATGGGCCTTCGCTTCTAATTTTGTCGATCCTGAGGAGAGGATCTCCGAAGAGAACATTCCATATTTTTTTCCTTCATTCTCACTCAACACTGAATTGGCCATGCCTGGATGCAGTGAAAGAGAAGAGAGGGTGTGACCTTTGTAGGCGGGTGGTGCAGTTAGAAGCCTGTAAGTCAAGCTGTGGAAGGCATATGTTCAATCCTGCGGAATGGGAAAAGAATGTTCTTTTTGCATCTTTTTGAAACAGATATCATCTGTGATATAGGAACTCGAGAAAGAGGCCCATGCTAATCAAAAAAGCTTGACTGGGGAAATAATAGCCAAACAACTCGGCCTTTGATAGATCAACTTCGAGATGTGACACGTGATTAGTTTTGACAGCTGTGACCAGGCCCGATGGGGCTACTTTAACTTTTGGCAGGCTAGAGGGTATATAAGATCCTTTTCCGAGAGTTTCTTTCAGCGAAGTAGCTGGTATTACAACTTCGAGCTCACCACTCGACCCAGCAAACCGGCCCTGGCAACAGAGCCACCCACGCACTTGGATAATTGTGCCTTCGCTTTTGCATTTTTCATCACGACATCCCCAAAGGTCTCTCGGACTGCACGGCATGGGTGGGGGCGAGGCAGTTAAGGGGTTGGATAGCTAGTACTTTTCTGTAACTTTGGCGTGAATGGCTGCGTGGCAGGCAATACCTAAATCGGGAGCAATTTGAACGTTGTGCTTTCGAATCCAGGAGCGGCGGCCTTGCGGATCGCCTCAGCCCGAACCTCGTACAGACCTACAGAGCCGATTCTCCAGGGCCCCTTTTTCCATATTTTTGGCATGTGCAGAAGATGGGAGACAGGTGCGAAGGGCTGCTTAAAACTGCCTTACGTCTATCTGGCTTGGATAATTGACACATAGTTTCAGGAAAGTTGTCAGCGAAGTAAGGTAGCTAATTCACTTGATTATTTGACAATTAACTTTCTTGCCCGGATATGGGTCTGCTCTTTTATTTTTGGAGACATATATGACTTCCCTTTTCTTCCAGTTTTGGATTATCCAAACACCGTCAATGCACTCGTTTGTTCGGGAAGATGTCTGTCGGTAATATTGGCTGGTAGGTGGTGTAAGCTCCTGCGCATCCGAACTTCACTCTCGCTTTTGCTTCCTAGCTTACCTCTAACCCTCTCTTTTTTTGCCCTCTTGCACAACGTGGAGAGTGGAGACCGGGAACAGCACACCTCACCACAACCATCTTCATGTAAACAAGATGTCCAGTGCATACATCTGTATTTGAAGCAAACTTTCGAAACGGCTCGAGTTCAAATGTCTCTTTTTGCCTGTTTTCTCTTTTTTCATTGGCTGTGAATCCCAAACCTTTGGAGCACAAGAGCCGCTAGGGAATCCGTCCTCATTTTCACAGGAGGGACACTTACTGCACCACCACAACAGGCTGCAATTGAGTCGGCTATATCATCTTATTTTCTGTTGAGGCTAAACAGCGAAGTAGCTGGTATCAAATTGAGTATATCATACTGCAACATATATATCCTCGGATCACCACTGAGGGCTTCGGTTCTCGCCAGACATCTACCTGTTTGCAAGTAGATGATCTCCTTCGCTTTTGCCATGGCAACCGAGCCAAGGGGGGGGGGGGGGGGAGAACTTCGCATCTTTTTGGATGTCAACTCTCATCGTCCTGCGTCTTTTCCCTTTTTTGTCCTTTGAGGTTGCGTGGGAGGGCTAACATGAGGAGAGAGATGTCCTCAATTTCATACCAAGACCCCACCACCACCACCACCACTTGGGGACTTTGGGCTATGAACTTTGTTTCCGTCAGAGGCTTTCAGCGAAGTAGCGTCCAAATACTATCATTCGAGTTTTCGAACAATCTGTGAGGTCTGGGGGTTCAAGAATACCTCGAGGTATTCGCCTTCGCTTTTATTTTGTCTTGCCCACAAATCCAGAGGCTGGCCACCTCAAGGGCTAGCAGGGGCAGTAATCGATACTTAGATCAAAACACTATTTTTGACCTCTTAACGCAAGTGGATGTGTGCATACTTTATTTTGAAACGTCGTGTGTTCGAATCTCTGTCTTCTCAGTTGCATTTTTCTTCTTGTCCAGGGTGTGACCAAGTAATCGTTTTTAGTGTTGAAAGATGTCCTCAATCTGTGCCGAGACCAACAGCTATTTACACCACCTACCTAGGCACACACCAGCACTAGGGATATCATCAGTGTTTCCGACACAATCATCAGCGAAGTAGCCTAAACATGCCATCTTATGATGAGTACTTGATTGCAACGGATAACCACTGGGCCAGGTCACGGTCACTCTTAGACATCTACTTGTAGATATTCTAGGTCCTTCGCTTTTTCGCAGTGTGCTCTCATTGTCGCTAGTGGCGAATGCTCGCAACTTTCCACTGCTTTTTAGCAACATATTTCCAGGCACCCTAACGCAGATGTCTGTATGCAAACTTGAAAATAAGACGTCCTGCGTTCGAGTCTTTCTTTTGCTTCTGCATTGTCTTTTGTGTGTTTAGGGGGGAAGATGTCCTCACTTTCTGCCAAGACCCCGCCACTTACACCCACTGGAAGAGCTATATAGTGACCTAGGGATATCATCTTTGTTTCCGGAAGAGATATCAGCGAAGTAGCTGGAATAAACCACCTTTGGATGATCTACCATTATATCTACGGATAACACTGCGGGCCTGGGGGCATTAAAGGGACGTCTACGAGTAGACGTTCTCCTTTGCTTTTTGCTTTGGGCTGAGATAACTCCCAGCAAGCCGGGATGACTACTACTCTTGCCCTCACCCCTGGCTATGTAGGGATTCCGGTTAATTTAGCATACATGTATGCGTCTCGGTGAGAATATAAGACGTCTCTGTTCGAATGTCTGTTGCTGCGATTGTTTTTTCTTTTTTCCATACTAGAACTGCTTTTGGGGCTAAGAAAAGATGTCCTCAATCCTCGGTCTGGCTAGGTAGCCAAGGCCTGTGGAGTCTGAGAGCTGGGCAGGTAGGAAGGGATATCATCGACTTTTCCGGGCATGTCTTTCAGCGAAGTAGCTGGTATCAAACAAACTTATCAAGAACGTGATGACAGTCTGGGTGGCTTAATGCCCCTAGGATGTCACCATCGCTTTTGCTTTTTATGTAGTTACTTTACAGCTAGACAGGATTACGCAAATCAGGGCTTCCGAGACGGACAGCTTCAAGTCAAACTTATCACAGAGGGTTCTTTTAAGTGGTTTAACCTAGTGGGCTGCGTCTGGATGTAAAGTTAGAGACGTTCTAGTTCGAGTGTGTCATGTTTCATCGATTTTCTCTTTTCATGGTCAAGGTGTGCCTGGGGCGAACAAAAAGATGTCCTCAAGTCCACCTTTGGCTTAGCGGAGATAAGGGGCATCAGATGGGTGGAAGTGAAGGGGGAAGAAGAAGAGGGTATATCACCTTGTTTTCTGAACTCAATTATCAGCGAAGTTAGCTGAATCCATACATACCTTACCTGAAAAAGCGGCCTTGGGGGATTTTGACATCTTTAATGATGTGATTGCAGGTGTCACCTTCGCTTTCTTTTTCTTCTTGTCATCAGATGTTGGAAACAGGACAGGGAGTGGTCCCCCATCTTCCAGCAAGGCCATCTTGTGGACGAAGATTCAATACGAGGGTTGGCGCAAACATATGCATTTCCATCTATTTTCAAGACGCCGTGAGTTCGAGTTTGCAATTTTCTTTTTTGATTCGCTATCATCAGATCTGGAGAAGGGTGTATGCGGTGGTGGAAAAAGCCGTCCTCAATTCTTGGCTACCTGTAAAATCTTCTCGGACTGGACTAGCCTGGGGCTTTCACATGGAATATCGAGGGCGATAATATCTGCTTGAGATATGCAAATCTTCCATCATTATCCTCACTACTCATTTTCCTCCTGTCCTCCTCGAATTCTGTGCGCTGCCACCCGCTCTTTGAGACTGCCTTTGAGAGCATCCCACAAACTGAACACCAAGGTAACATGGCCTAAAATTAAGCAAACTGCCTGGTCAAGCTCATCAATTTTGTAAGAGCTTTTCGGAAAAGCCATAGATAGCCTGAGAGCCAAGCTTTGATTGCTCGACATGTACTTGGTTTCGGTCGCTCCGCCCAGAATAATGATGGCCACTTGGATGACGAGAAAGGGAATAGATATGACAGGCCATATAGCATCAAACCAACCCTTAACTGTGAGGGTTAATTTGGCTCTTGCAAGATCGAGCCGTTTTTGTATTGTGTGTAAGGGAATGCGTTCCTGCGTGGCATTTGACGAGGCGTTGAACAAAATGTCGCACTGATGGGACGCAAGTGAAGTAATTTGACTCAAGACTGCCAGCGCAACAGCAACGATTAAAGTCGTCATAATACCGGTAATGACCGGTGCGTCAAAGTTATGACAGAAGGGCCTCACCATGTTGCTCTCGTCGATTGGTACATTCCATCCGGTTTTGATTACTATGGCCTGTGGGCAATATTCAGCTCCTGTCTCAAGATTTCTCTCCTTACTCCAACGGAAAGAAAGAAGTTACTACACTTACCCACTCTGGCGACCAAGTAAAAGCAGTCACCACCAGCACTATCAACGCCCTTTTCATCTGGCCCTTCCAAGTTGCCAACCCAAAAAGTGCGAGGCCGAAGCCAGAGAATGTCTCGCACACCGTCAATGGCGCTTCAAGGGCGGATGAAAATTGTTGAGAAGATATGTCGGAGCTTGTCAACAGAGTCTTGAGACTCGAGGTTGATGAAGATGGTGCTTGAAAGAAGATCAAATTGTACACATGGCCAGCTGCCACCGCTGGGATGGTGAGTGCTATGATGAAGTCAGGCGAGATGGTGTTGGAGCGGGAGTATTTGGGGTTGAACGTCCATGTAACAAAGAGGGAGAGGAGGATGCAGAGCCAGCCGCCCATGTTCCCTGGACCATAGAGGGAAGACACATTGCTGAATCTGTCGAGGGGGTGGTGGCTTTCACCGGAAACATTCATTGTGCCCGGAAAACAATAAAGACCAAGACTTTTTCGCTTGTTGTCATAGGAGAATGGATTTAGTCAAATGCCTGTCAATGTATGGAACTCCCACATCCTCGTTAGCCAATAGCCATATCACGATATACAACAGGTAACTTCACCTATTTTCACTGTGCCTCACTCGAGATGATGCTACAGCTTTGAACCGGGGCAGTGCCTCGAAGAAGGTTGCATCGAGCGGGAAATCGGCGTTGGCCAGACTCTGAAGCCCGACATGCCTTGCGGCTGGCTCCAGGTACCAAACATGCATTGGCAGATGGGAAACATGGCCGTGTCTGAGTCTCGTCGTTCGATTATGAGAACTTTGTTTCATGCTTGTTGCAAACCTAGGTAGGAGCCAAGAGATACACAAGATCTCAAAACTGCAATCAAGTGGTTTGGCACGTGAGTGGCGTTCTCTCTAGCCTTATCAACTACTTTTCCGACCTTCAATGTCAGCGAAGTAGCGAACTACATTCTCAGACGACTTGAAATTGTATCTTCGGATACCTTCGCTTTTTTTTGCACTTTCCAGACATATCCAAGCTCAATATCAACATGCCCCCTTCTTTTTGACATCCCTATCGCGCTCTCGTGGACAGAACAAGCCCAAGCAACCGCCATTTCTCTTTTTACTGGGTCGCTGACATGGTTGGACGTGTCTCACCTCAAACTAGAGACGTCAGAGTTCGAATCAGACATGTCCCCAACTTCATGTCTTTTTCACAATCTCTCTTTTGCAGTCTGCAACTTTCACAAGATGATATAAGACTGCAGTTAATGTGGTGTCATTGCTAAAATGCCTTAACCAACTTTATTCTTACCTAAGTGCTCTTTCTCTCTTGTTCACATGTCAGCACGTGCCGCCAGCCTGTGTCTGGGGTATACAGCCTCCCTTTCCACACCTTACCTCCAGCGACGTAGCGGAAAATTAAATAGGAATTTACCCTGTCCCCCTTCGGGGGAAACACCTTCGCTTTTGTTCACTTTTTTTTAGAAGATCAACAAACAGATCTTCTCACCTCACGATCTTCAACACCTAACTACGCCAGCAAAGCTAGCAGAGGCCACGCTGGGGCACCTCAACCCCTGGTCTCTGAGGACAGGTGTTGTGGCGCAGACAGCTGGATGCCAGCACAATGAAAATGTTTTTGAGCTTGGACGTCGCTGTTCGAATTCAATGACTTGATTATCTTTGCATGCTTTTGTTGAGTCAAGTTCGCTTTTAATGAATGCTTGAATGCACTGGGAGTTGATGTGTATTTTCTTGCGAGCGACAGAGGGTTGTTTTCTTCAGCGGTATGTACATATGATTGATCAACTGGCATGTTATTTGTAAGCTGGGTTTGCTTATCACATATTTGATAATGGAAATCTTTATTTCCCTTGGAGCGGGGGAGATGTTGGGTAGAGCTGTCATACAGGAGATTGTGATGAACTTGTCGTGATGTCGACTGTGGAGTAATCTGTCAGTGACTGCTGGCTGGGTTATCCCCGGTGTAAGATGCTTAACTCCGGGGCTGGGTCTTGGCAGCTCTGATGGTGCTGGTTTGGAGTTGGCTTTATTGATCTTGAAGAGTCTGTAAAACCAAAAGGCTTGGTTTATAGAATGTTGTTTTTTTTGGTAACTTTTCGTTTCACCTCGCGAAGGCCATCATATTTAAGAGCAATATGTGTGTTGTGAATTGATTACAGTAAAAGTCCAGTTGTTCAGGGGTAAGGCAAGCTTTCATTGCTCCATGACATCATCAGCCGTGTTGTTCCTGAATGGCAGGCTCAACATCAGATTGGTGATCGGAGCATTTGGGAAGACATCCGCATCTTGCACGTGATGACTTTTCAACTTCTAGCGAGAAGAGACTCTTTCTTCACTGTAATATTTGATCTCTTTTACACACTTATAACACCGGACAAACATCGCTCTTATGCATCTACCAACCAGAAAAAGAACATACCGAGTTCCCAGCGCAGCCTCTCCTGACCCGCCTCCCTCCTTCTTGCAACCTCCTTCATACCCTCCTTAATGACACAGCAAGGCAGTATCAGCAGTATCAGCAGTATCAACTTCTCCGAAGACTTCCAAATTCGATATTCCTGAATGTCTACACCTTACTCTTAATACCTACCCCCTACCTTCACCCCGTCTCTCAACAATGCCCTCAAGACCTGTATCCCGAGCCTCCCGAACTTCCCGCTCAAAATTACGTCCCTCCCTCGACCCCCACGCCTCCCGCCCTCCCCCATCAGCACCTCACCCACCCCGCTCCTTCCGCGAACACTTCTTCCACTCCCTAACCCCTTACTCAGGCCCCTACCAAGTCGCCTTCCTCGAAATTGAAGTTACCGTCCGATCACCCCGTCATTTCAGCCGCATCAAGCGCAATGGGTCCTACGCCCTCAAGCTCGACACCGTCCTCTTCGCCGTCTACTACCCCACCGACAACTCTGACCTCCCACGCAGCGAGCGGCGGAGTCTCCACCGCAGGTCCAGAAAACCATTATCCAGAGTCCCTTGGCTTCCTCGGCCCAGAGCGGAGACATGCAAGGGCTATGCGAGGTTCTTCAACGTGCCGTATATTCCCATAACGGCGTATATGGCTGCAACGAGTATGTTTACCAAGTTGCCTGTTTTGAGAAATGGGAGGATCTCGTCACGGTGGTCACCTGCTGTTGAGGAGGATGAAGAAGAAGAGAAGGTTACTACGGAAAATATTTCTCCTGCGGAGGGCGGTATAGAGGCGAAAGAGGAGCAAGAAAATGGAAATAGTTTGAGCCAGAATACACTTGTAGATGGCGGTGAAGCCTGTGAGGCAGATAAACAAGACGGCAAGCCAAAGTTCCCGGTGATCATGTTCAGCCATGGTCTTGGCGGGTCCCGAACACTGTACAGTTCTATCTGTGGGGAACTGGCCAGCTTTGGCTTCGTGGTTGTCGCTTTGGAACATCGCGACGGCAGTGGTGCCAGAACGTTTGTCAACAAGGCTGGTTCCGACCCAGATCTCGATAGTCAAGGCCTTGACAGATCGCCCGGGCCACCAAAGGACGAGAAGAAACAACATAAGAAAAATAGTGGACAGGACAAGCCGTACTACAAAGTCGACTATATCTTCCCCAAAGATAACGCCCAAGATACTTCACCACACAACTCGCGTGGCATTGATACAGAGCTTCGTGAAGCCCAGATTGAAATGAGGATGGCTGAAATCGAGGAGGCTTTCCACGTCTTGCAGCTTATAAACAACGGAAAGGGAGATGCTGTGCGCGCAAGGAACCTTAGGAAGAAAGGGAATGTCGGTGCCAGCTCACTGGGGCTCGATGGGATCGACTGGAATGAATGGACAGAGAGGCTTTACTTGGAAAATGTGACAATGATGGGTCACAGCTTCGGAGGCGCGACCTCAGTGCAGGCCTTGAGGTCCGAAAGACTTGATTGGCTCTCCCAGGGCATCCTACTTGACGCATGGGGTCCGGCAACTCCTGAGAGCACGGAGCGGGAACGGCTTCGGAAACCGATATTGTCTATCGGGAGCGAGGCGTTCATGCACTGGACGGAAAATTTCGAGCGCGTCGAGCGAATATGCCACGAGGCCCGTGACGGAGGTGCTCCATGCTGGATGACGACGATACGAGGATCAACACACCTGTCCCAAACTGACTTTGCTGTTCTTTATCCAAAGTGGATGACAGTGTTTATGAAGACCATTGTGTCTTCGAAACGGGCCATATACCTGACGGTACACTCGGCACTTGAGTTCTTGAAAATAACGCTGCCACCACAACAGACCCGATTCAAAAAGTCTTGGGCAGATGACCAACTTCTCAGCAAGGCCGATCCCGGGATGGAGATCGAACTGGACAACCGGCCAAATGACAAGTGGGTCGCCGCCCGGCTGAGAATTCCTCACGAATTCAGACAGCGGCTCAAGAGGACTGTCAAGCCGAAAAAGAAGTCCAATGTCCCACGGGATGCCTCGGGAAAGCCCCTGAAAGGTCTTGTCAGCTGGGGGGTTGGGCAGGAAATCTGGTGCCATCAACGCCCTGAGCAAGATGTGCTTGACCGGTACATGGAAGAAAACGGTTGGTCGCCTCAATAACTCGGAGAGCGCCACCATCCGCTGATCTCCCGTACGCCCAACTGTCCTGCACCCTTGAGGTTGTATCTCGTAGTAGGCTTGATAATGTATAGCGAGCAGCGAGGAGGGGGCATGATCTGCGAGTGTAGGACGGGTTGGGATGTGTAATAACTTCACTTTGGCGCGCCAACCAACGTAAACAATCCGGACACATGAAAGCGACCCCGAGCTGGACAATGTTAACAATAAAGAAGAATGTATCTCGCAGCAAGGCTTGCCAGTGCCGGTCATCCGGCCATATTGACATGCACCCCAATGTCAGAAATAGTAGCTCAAATAGTTCCCCAGGAGCGAACGCATGGAAATACAGCCAATGGCCATCTCAACCGCCCCCCTATGCCCAGGCGAGAGGTCAACCTTGGGTAGGGAGAAAATAGCAAGCGAGAGTGAAAGCTGGAGACGGGAAGCAAACGAGGGAATCCCAAAGACGAACGCGTAATGCCCAATCTAAATGTCTTTCCAGGAAGGGGATGATACCACCACCATACCAGGAGCTGGGAGTTCAGTCAAGCGGGGGGATATTGCTCGCCTACTGGAAAAAAGGACAGGATAAAAGGCGTGACCTGCTTGTACCTGGAAAGCTGAGGAAAGCAAACACGGCTTGGAAAGCCGGTATGGTGTGTGCTAACTATGACGGACAGCTCGAGTCGCATCATTGAGTGCCATCGGCGGTTGGCAGGCCCTGGAAAACGAGGCTCAAAACCAAGCATCCTGCCCAGGCTCGGCGTGAGTGCCCAGGAGCGGTCCGAAAGAAAGGCGACGAGGCAATAGGCAAATGTTTGGAAAACTTCCGGAAGCAGTATGTATGCAGGATGTGTGGGTCTCAATAACAGGGCCGCCTGCACCCATCGCGCGATGCAGATGATCGTCGTTGTGGGGTTGTACTTTCTTACTCAAAAGCTGAGGTTGTGAGTCTAGGTGGGCGGCTGACGGAGAGATCGATCGGATACTATGGTGAACAGCGCCAGAATGACGCCATATACAGTCCGATCTGGTGAGTGTCAAGCCAGGTTGGCGAGACGGGACCGACGAAGCGTCGTTTTCTTACTGTCCAGAGAAGACTGTGTGGCTCCGAGACGGGCAACCAACTCATCGTCATGATCCCGCTGTAGTAGCGCTTCCTGCTCGTGAGGTTAGCTTCATCATCGGAAAAAGGTCACAGTCATTGGTCTACCGGGAGGTGTTTGCGCATCGGCCGGCGCTTGGGGAGTTGAACGAGCAGTTGTCGTGCCTTGTCTCACACATACCATCGGGTGAACTAATTGCCTATAGCCGCATTTGGGGTTTTCTAGAACCAGCATTCAAGGCTAAGCTAATCATGAGTCTTTGTGGAAGAGGTCCTTGGCGTGGTATAGGGAGTACATCTAGTTGCTGATGGCTGCAAGCAAACCGGGTATCGGGCGCAATGAAATCCGGACATTGAAATGAATCTCGATGAAGTTGATGTGAAAGCGAATGGCGAAGAAAGCTTGTCCTTGGGAAGCAAAGAGGCCAAGGCTGGGCGAGGAAGCTTAGGTGCTAAAGATCTCCACTTTACCCCCCTGTGGCGTTCTGGGGCGGTCCGTTGAGAAGCCACTGGGCTGGTAACCAGTCATGCAGTCCTCTTCTACCTCACTTCGCAACGACATATCTTGTTGGGTATTAGATACAAGCAAGCAGTGTATGGCGGCATATAGTGTCTTCAAGTTTAGGTGTTCTCTGTACTCAAGCCCAACCAAATCAATCCCAGCCTACCTTACTTCATTCATCTAGACTCTGAATCCTAGTCATCATCGTTTCCGCACCTCTCAAATCATGCCTCGTTTTCTTGTGTCACCATTACCCGACAGCTCAGCTTTTTCCGCTTTGTGTAACACTTCAATAGAAGACGTTGTGTGCCATGTACGCGAACCCGAAGAAGCTTCTCGGCAGCCGGGAGCTTTTCAGCGGTGAATAACATCCTGCTGTCCACAACATCACCCTCGTGTTGTTCCTGCAGCGTACCTGACATGCTTGTCTTTCTATTTCCGCCATCGCTTGCCTGCATCGGAGTGGGTGAGGTGGCCCTCGCAGCTCGCCTTTGTCTTGAGACGAGCCCAAGATGCCACCCACAGCGGGAGGCTTACAACTTTTTAATTTCTTTCCGTTGGACATACACTACAATCAAACACTTCTTGGGCAGGTGGGAGACTCGAGAGTGTGACTCTATGAGCCACTGCTCCCGAGCGTTGCCACCGGATGAAAACTGCGTAGAGACAAGTCACTTTACCCGTCGCTCCAGAGCATCTTGCATTCACCCAAAGCTGCAGCGGATACGCGCGCAAAATTCAAGACACTCGTTTTCAGGTCTTTTCACTCGCTACAGGTCATAGTACGTACGCCCGTTTAGAATCCGGTATTGTACCCTCAAGCCGATCACCCGGCGTTTACCTCGTCGGCAAGTTGCAACCCACTCAGCTTCCACACATATACATATCTCGCCTTGTGCTCGTCCGGGAACATCCAGTGTCTTTTTTCCCTCGAGGGTATCAGGCCACCCTGGACATCTTTTGGTAGAATCACTCCAGCTTTACTGGTCCGTGATGGACATCTTGTTTTCTGTTTATGGCTCTGGGCCACTCCCCAAGACAGCCTTGGAGGAGGTTGAGCGCCGGACTGAGGAATTGCTCAAGTCTGGCACGTTCAACCATCTGGAGAAAAAGTCCAAGGTATGTGCGCCGCTATCCTGCCCCTTCCCGCTTGCTTGCCGTTCGGTGTTGTACCGTCCTGATTGCTGGGTGTTTCATGGCGCAGCATGTCTCTAACTTTGCATTTGTATGACTACAGCTGGACCAGCTACAAGAAACCTACCCTCCCTCCGTGCCATATTCTGCTACCTCCCAAGGAAGCCTCCCATCTCTCCAACTCCCGCGCTTCGACTCACCGCCTACGGACCGCAGTACCCCGATGCTAAGCCCAGAAACCAAGGGTGTTACACTACAATCACTTTCTATCACTATCCCACGATCCCCCGAAAGCCACTCACCGTGCCCCGGCACTGGCGAGGAAGACAGTGGATCAGAAACACCGACGGCAAATCTTGTATCTCCGCACAAGCAGGTCAAGTTTCTGTCTCCGGGCAACGACGAGGAAGCCATGTCAGATCAGTCGTCAATCTGCCAATCTCCCAGCTGGGAGAACTATGGCCAGCGGAAGAGGGAGAAGAAGCTCGAAGCCGAACGCCGGAAAAAGGAAAAGCTGCTAGCGGAGAAGGAAGCGAAGGCGTCGAAGAAACGTACCACCGCAAGACTCAGCAAACTCCCGCCGTCCGCCAGTACTCTGAACACCGGGGCACGAACAACTGGCTTTATCAGTCCAGAGCGCTCCATGTCTGATCCGTCTCTGATCACACAGCATTCACTGTTGCATCTCCAAACGGTCCAACGACCTGAGGGCAGCGGAAAGGCGGCGTCTACCGATAATCTTCAACCAAGCAGGCGTCACTTCCTCGCCTCCAGCGATATTGTAAACGGAGACAATGCTGCTCGGCCCAAGACGGCCACTCAAACCGCCATACACAATACTCCCGGCGATTCGCACTTGGAACTGCGGAGATCTATCTCGGAGGGGCCTCTTCCGAATGTCGCAGCCATTCCATCGTCACTTTCACTACATCAGGATGGCCGGGTTCCAAGAGATATGTGTCCGCCTTCAGCCTCTAGAACACCAATGCTAAGACATATGTCTCCGTCCGCCCATACGAGAAGCAACAGCCTACCTCAGACGGCGGCTTCGCAGCCCAGAGGCCGCGATGGGCATAAAATAAATCTGACATCGGCAGGGCTGGCTGATGAGGAAGCGTTGGCGAACTCCAAGCCACAAGCTTCATCAAGGAGTAGCTCAAGTAACCCTAGACATTCGCGACGCTCCTCATTCACCCAAGACGCCAAAGCGGCAGCCATGAAACTCATTGGCAGAAGAGGCACATCTGCGACACGGAGCGACAACACGATAGACACCCAACCGTCAGGCATCGAGGCCGACTACTTTGGCGATGCAAACCATCCCCTCGCCTCAGGCTCAAGTCCCATAGAATCACATGAAACTGCGACCCGCATTCCTCCCTCTACATCTCACAGCACTGGAAGTTCTGGGGGCTTCTCGATGATTTCTGCTAGCCAGAGTAAAAGATCCCGAAGTCTCAAAGATGCGGCGAAGGCAGCACTGAGCATTGGAAAAAGACCTCAGCTCCAAACAAGCGCAACGACACACATAGCAGGCCCGCCATATTTCTCATTTCGAGACCGTAAGCAGTCAAAGGTGTCCATGTCTCAGGAAGTGGGCAGTCCGAGTGTTCAGGATGAGCCACCCACCCTGACATCAGTAGTAAGGCGTCAAGAACTAAAGCTTTATTTGAAGGTTCGGCATGCTAATGTGAAGCAGACCTCTGTATCTCAGTCTGGGGCACCTGGTTCTGTGGCCAGTAACGGAACAACAAGTCAAACAGGAAGCCGCGCTTCCGAAGGCTCGTCGACTTCAACTTGCTCCACCTTCGAAGACGGATCCTCTCTTGTATCGCAAACAATCACCCCGGACACATCCAGGCCTCAGTCTTCTGGGGGTGATTCTGCATTGGAGAATATTTTGACTCAAAAAGATCCCAATTTCCAAGGGACCGACTACACACAGTCTGCAAGGTCGAGTAAATCGACTACGCCTCGTCCTGGGAATCCAGAAAATTCTGGATTAAGTTCAGGTGGCGATGATGACTGGTGGAAAAGAGAGGCCATGCCAGTCGATCAAGATAATGATGCACAGTCTTTCATGACGTCTCGCTCGACTTTCGATGACACGGATGAACCTTCGCCAAACTCGTCGAACAATACAGCTGAGTTACCACTCAGGAACAGGACTGAGGGCTTGGAGTCTCGACTAGGCCTGGCAAGAAAACTACAATCGGCAGACGCATCTGGTTCACCAACCTACCCTACCCCGTTGCCGGGATCCTCTGTTGCACCTGCCATTGTGATACCGCCTCGATCCATGAAACGGAATCTTTCCATTTCTGATTCAGGTCACACATCTCCGTACATTGAGAGAAACACAGAAACTGCCCCAGCTCACTATGGTCCCGTTGAAGATGTTGCCACCAGACCTTTGAAGCGTGAGGGCGCAAATCGAAAGCAAAAAAGGGAGTTGAGGACTCGGGAGTATGGGAGCAACCAGTCTGCCTGGCACGGAAACGAGCACTCTGCCGAACCACATCCTTTGTATTTGTCGACAGATTTACCCAGCCCACCCCTCCCCCCTAGATCAGGGACCCGAAGAAGCAAGCCTGTTATGGCTGCTGAGTTTCAAATACCCTCGAGCCCTTACTCAGAGGACTTCCCTGGGGACGATAGTGTTTTTGGTCCCAGCTCTCATGTGGAGCCATCACCTCACCCAAGCACCAGGTTTACACATCATAGCGCCGCCAGACCATCATCACAACCTCGAACACACTCTGCTCCAATTCTGTCTCCTGCGCCTATCTCAGCGCTGAGACCGCATACTCCATCGCCGCTTACTTCCCCGGGAGCACAAAATTCAGGTGGCGCTTCTAAACCTGGACCGGTATCTATCCTGAAGCCACCAAAGCACTCAGAGATATCATTGTCTGCACCGACATCGCCAGGCCAGCCTCCCACCCTGTCCGCACTGCCGAGACACATGCAACTGAAACCCGGCACCTCCAGTCGCACGCCGAGTACCGTCACAGAGTCACGGATGGCTCCCATAGCCAAAATGTTCGTCGAGTGCTGCAGCTGCAAGTTTTACCACGACATGCCATCCAAAATCTACGAATGCATGGCGAAACCGGACGCGGTGGTCGAGGACAGAAACCTGGGGATATCGGGAGCGATTACCACCGCAGTGAAATGCCCATGGTGCCAACATAGTATGAGCACCGGTTGCTGCGCGGGTTATGCTGCTGTTGTTTACCTCAAGGAGAAGTTGCACTAGAGGGCTAGTCGGTATGTTTTGCATTTTTTGAGAGCGCCATAAGGGGCACATAAAATGGATTTCCTTGCTTGAGAGCTTGAGTTTACTGTAGCATGTTTTTTTCAGTATCGTCCGCATAAGATGGCGAAGAAAATGGAGGGAAAAGCCTGTCGTTTTCGCGATTCCATGTCTTACCTAGGTAGCTCATGAATAAAGTGTGTTCTCCGTTACGATACTTTCCGGCTGCATCTAGTATTCATGTGTATCATTTCAGCGCCAATGTATTTATTGTTTTCAATTGGCGCACACTCTGTCTTCGGATGCCGGCAAACATCTTCAATATCGAACAACTACCGCGACGCGTGGCTTTCTGATGATTCAAAATCATAATATCTGCGTGTAATAAACTCCAAAGCAGCTTTCCCGGCGGGGGATCAACGGGGTGCGGGATTATGCCATCTCGTTACTCATCCATGTTGTTTAGACTTACATGAACGGTCCGGCAGTTGATGTCACCTATCAGATACATCTTATCGGTGATTAAGCCTAGACCCTTGGCAGCAGATAAGATAAGATCTCAATGACATCACGGAGCAGTTGCAAGGTGGAGGTCTCGGCTTTAAGGTTTCCTCTCGGCAAAAAGCGGGTCTTTGGTGACCCACAGTTTTTTCCCGCCAGCCGCAAGGGACAGACTCCGTTGTCGGTTCGGCTGGTCGAGAATCTTCCGTGTGAGTGAGTGTTTGCCGTCAATGACGCCGAAAGGAAGAGGACCAATTTTTCTGCGTCGTTTTTGCCCCTTCGGATACCAATTGAGGAGAAGACCTCCGGTTCGGATTTTTAACTTTGCTTGTCATTGCGCCCTGCAGATACCTCTTTACTTTTGAGACGGGAAAAAAATATAAACGTCAATTTCACACATCCATTTTCCCTGCGCAAAGAATCCCCGATATCCGTCACACCCGCGCGCAGCACCACAGCTGCAGGACAAAGAGGTGTCCCGTTGTAACGGTTCCTGCTCCACACTTGCGTAGGTGTGGACTGGATAGGATCGCGAGGGGGAGGAACACATCTCCGGCAGTCCGCCCTGAGAGAGGGATTCCAGACGTTGCCGGCGACAGGCATCACACGGACAGACATATGGGGATGCTTTCTAGCGAGGCGCAAACTCCCGACTTCCGACAGAACCACAATAGGATGGCCGGCCATGCCTCGCCATCGGTCGTAGTTGATACTTCAACTGATCCGGTCGAGATCACGACCGTACAGAAGATGCTCTCGGCCACATCGGGTAGCTTGATCACTGGTTTGTTAGGTATGTCTCCTCACCCATACACTTGTGATGAGCGCCACTGACGCTGACACTTCAACAGTAACACCTCTCGATGTAGTGCGAGTACGATGGCAAGCTCAAGGCCTTTCTAAGCCGCCACCACAACCCCTAACCGCCGACTTTTCCAAGCTCTTACTCTCGAGCTCCACGCCCTTTCGACCATCCAGCCTAGGCGTGACAGCCTGCTGCCGCGAAGTCTTCTTCGCAAACAACAACTCCGAAATCTGCGTCGTCGGTCCCCGGGTTCACGGAGCCGGTGCCACAGCAATCGACTGCGCCGTCGAGCACACCCAGCAACGAACCTTCAACTCCACCTTTGACGGTCTCCGCAAGATCGCTCGCAATGAAGGTATCACCACCTTATGGCGCGGTCTCTCCCCGACCCTCGTTATGGCCGTCCCTGCCAATATCATCTACCTAACCGGCTACGACTGGCTCCGTCTTAACCCCGCCTCCCCAATACAGCGCACCAGCGTCCGCGATGACATGGCCCCCTTGGTAGCAGGAATTACAGCACGCATGGTTGCGGCCGCCGTCGTTTCCCCCATCGAGCTGTTTCGCACTCGGATGCAAGCCGCGCAAGGCGGTAGTTCCTCTGAGCACCTTGCCGAAACCCTCCGCGGAGTCAAGGACATGGTCAACACCCACGGGTACCGCTCTCTTTGGCGCGGGTTGACACTCACGCTGTGGCGGGATGTCCCCTTCTCGGGTATGTACTGGTGGGGATACGAAACCATTCGCGGGAAACTCACCGATGCCCGTGAGCGCGGGAGGTCGACAACTCTGGAAATGGACCTCGATCGTGACGCGCAGAGAAGCTCCAAGGCTCGCGCGAGGAGAAGAAGCCAAAGCAGGGAGAACCACGCGGATACTTTCACGGATAGTTTTATTGCCGGCGCCGCCTCGGGTGCGTTTGCATCAGTGGCGACGATGCCTTTTGATGTAGGCAAGACAAGAACACAAGTATTCAGGGACTCGGGGACATTAGCCAAGTCGGCGGTGGGCAATGCGGCAGTGGCACCAGAAGAACAATCGATGGGGAGACTGCTGTGGCACATCTTCCGGACGGAGGGGATGGGAGGGTTGTTTAAGGGTTGTGTACCGCGCACGCTGAAGGTGGCGCCGGCATGTGCGGTTATGATCAGCAGTTATGAGGTGGGTAAGAGGGTGTTTAGGGGGGTGAATGAGAGGAGGATGTTGAAGGAGGTTGGCGGTGGGGAGGAACCAGCTGCTGCTGCTTGAACCACCCGCTTGAGCGGCTCCGACTACTCATCCATTACTTCTTCTTTGTCATATGAGCTGGGTGTGTGAACTCTCCACTTTTTTTCCCTGTTTCTATTAGCATCAATATTTTTCTTGTTGGTTTCATGGGGTTTCTTCAAGGATACTGGAATGATGGTTAGGTGGGCCGGAAGGAAGGGGGGTTTAAATAAGCATGTTTGGCGTTTTTTTGGGGGGTTTTTTTTTTTTTTTTTTTTGCATTTTTAGAAAGAATCGAAGATATATGGTGGGTTAGATTGAGGGCGAGAGTACACTAGGGAGGGGGAAGGGTGAGTAAAATGAGAAGTACCCCAAGGATGTTGCTCTATGACATGCTGGGTGGGTGGAGACAGCGAGATAATGTATATCATTTGTAACAATATAAAAGTATGCATATATTATCATTTTCTGGCTTCAGGTATTTCTTTCTTCTTGCATGGAGCCTGGACATAGTAGACTGGGAACCTAATTATCGTGCGGTTATTGTGGCGTTTTTATTTGATGCTCTTAAACCGACCGAAGGTAGGCGTATTCTATCCTACTAGATTACATGTGTCAGCCACGTCAAAGCTACCAAAGTTAGCAACAGGTGTATAAGGGATGATCTTGGCCTAGGTGAAGAGGAGTGAGCAAACATTGAAATGTCTCTCGATTCTCTACCATACTTACCTAAACCACCTGGTAGAAAAACTTCCCTTCAACGCTTGCCAGAAGACTCATCACATGAGCGAGTTATCATCGCAAGTAACACCTCAGCCAAGCCATTGGCTCATCGCCAACATATCGTATTCAATAGACTTTCACATCCCCCCTCTACTAGACGTAATGATTTCCACCGACCAATGTCAAAACACCCACATTAAAGCACATCGAATCCCATGACACACAGACAGAAATTAACCGTTAAACGTATTCAGAGGGGAGTCGAAATTTTTTTTTTGGTTGTTCATCAAGAAAATTAAAGAGGTAAAAAGAAAGTAGTCGAAGAGAAAATAGAACAAAACAACGCGCTCGATAGCCAGCAAGTTATTCTGTGTTGCACGCGCGCGCACACGCACACAGAGACTAACAACACATGCCGAAAACACGCCCACAAAAACCCACGACACATATCATTACCATCTCCGCCAAAGCCAAACCCAAGCCTCAAAAGTCGCCTGCTCCCAGGCATCAGCGGCTGTCCAGCCAGCAAAAACACAGCACCCTCCATTTTCCCAAATTGCCCCCTGAACTGCCTCTGGTTCCTTCTATGGCACCCCTTGTGCCCAGCAGCGGTAATGTGTCCCTCGCCTGACCTCGTTGGTTGTGTCGTTGCTTATCGATGAAAAAGACAAGCCAAAGCAAAACGCGCCACATTGTGGAAACGTCGGCGGTTGTGAGAATAAGGGTCTCGTTGACCAAGTGTGAGGTGTTCGTCCATCTGTGACGCCCCCTGCTGTGTCTCTATATCGAGATACGTTCCAGAATCCCAACATATTGACCAGCCCTCGTTGTCGTTGATTGCCGCCAGCTGACCGTATCTGTTACTCGCTTGACTATCGCCATCCTCATAGTTGCTGTTGCCCTAGCTATCGCATCACTCTCCTCGTCGAGTGCTCATATTTTCTGCTTCGGTGCCTCGATGCCCCGCTATGCTTGTTGCGAAAAGATCCGCGAATCGACCATGTGCATGTGATCTGTATTATGCGAGAGCGTATCGGTTCTCCTGTGATGAGCAAAATAGCTCCATTAATTGTTGGTTATACATGTGCCATGTTCACGCAATCTCCTTGACGCCTCAGACGCTCTGAGGATACACACTCGCAGGCTGCAAGGTTTGTTAGCTTTGCTCCAATCAAGCACTTGAAGGACAGGTATACATACCGGGCTGTTAAGGATTTGGTTGCGCTTGTTCCGCCCCTTCTTAATATGATTCTTGAGTGCATTAGAGTCAAGAGGTTTGAGGAGCTCAAAGCTGCAAAGAAGTTCGGTTGATACCGACATAACGGCACCCCAGTTGTCAAATTCGCCACAGTACTAGAAGAGTATCAGTTAGTATTAGTATATAAATCAAAAAGTTGTCGAGCTAAAAAAACAACTCACGTTGGGAGCGCTGAAGACTGTGACGAGAACACGATCCGTGAAGAATTCGTAGCCGTCTTCAACAACCATGTGGGCGCGACAAACAAGATCAAAGTCATTAGCGGCCAAAAAGTCAACGATGACCTTCTTCCCGAAGCAATAACTGACACCGCGTTCGTTTGACTCCCAGTCTGACTCCATGTCTGCCGGATCAGACCACAAAAGGTCGTTGAGCAAGCCGTAGTCAGGAACATCGGTAGGCCTAGCAATGTTCCTGATATCGTCCATGTGGCTGAGAGCCGGCGAAAGTCCTCCGTGGACACAGAAGATCTTGGCAGCGACGATAGCCGCAATGGGAAGCGTGTTGAACGTGTCGACGAATGTCTTCCAAATCTTCACGTTGCATCTTCGTTTGCACTCATCGTAGAACCCGTATACGCGCGTGACATTGGCGCATTCGTGATTTCCACGCAGCAAGAAGAAGTTCTCGGGGTACTTGAGCTTGTAGCAGAGCAAAAGCAGGATGGTCTCCAGAGACTGCTTGCCACGATCCACGTAGTCGCCCAAGAACAGGTAGTTGGAGTTTGGGGGAAACCCGCACATCTCGAACATCCGAATCAGGTCGGTATACTGGCCGTGCACGTCTCCTACTATCTTGACGGGCGCGTCCAGCTCGAGAAGGGCGGGCTGGGAAAGGAAAACTTCTCGAGCCCGATGGCAGATCGCCGTGATTTCGGCATTCTTGAGACACACTCCTTTTGTGACTTTGCCGGCGTAGGCGGCATCGAGAAGGCGCTTGATGAAATCATCCAGGTCAATATCCTTGATCTCACTCATGGTGACTCCAGCATCTTCCTTTCCAGACTCATTGGGTGAGTTGTTAACCAAACTGACAGCGTCATCGCGCTTCACCAGGATGGACTGGCCCGCCGGTTGTGCAGGAAGGGCTGAACTGCCGGCACCCGAAGGCGGTTGGTCTGAAACGTGGTCCACCTCCCCGCTGGCCTGCGCAGCCGAGACATCGTGGTATCCCGCCTTCAAGGACGCGGATTGTATCGGCGAGGGCGGCGGAAGGTCATCAGCCACGGGAGAAGTCGGCACGGCAGTATCGACCGATGACGGTGAGCTGGGGGACGGGATAGAATCGGCACGTGAGACGCGTGACTGGGACGATCTTGCGCTCCTGCCACCTGTAACATCCGCCTTTTCGTTCACATCACCGTTCACAATGAGTGCCGAGCTCCTAGGACTGTCTGTCCTGTTGGACCCTGGGATCTTGGAACGCAGGGAGCGAAAAGACCTAGATGACTCTCTGGTGTCGGACCTGCTGAACGAAGGATACGACTGGAAGCCCTCGGGGCCGGTCCGGTCGCCATTAGCGGCACCCTTGGCCGACGATCCGGACTCCTTGGAGGATTGGTTGCCCATGATTTCTCAATGTCAGAGAATTATAGCTCTTGAGATAGGGCCTGGACGGCGTGCACACGCGCGTGGTTCCGGGCAGGTCGCTCTTTGGCCAAGACCTACACAGCCTACCGCTGGCACCCGTCTAGAAGCGATTTGTAATTCTTGTTGTGCCCCTTGGTTCTAGGGAGGGTGGTAGAGTCTGTCGAGACAGGAAAGCAGTTGGGTGGCGGTGGTTGACCGACGTCCCGATGAGCTCTCCGTTTTCAACGATACCAAGGGAAGACAGTGGAAAGGTGTTGGTAAGAGCGGGGACGGTGGTCGAGGCACGGCGGAGACTCCGGTCAGTCAGCGGTGTCGGATCTATCGGGGTCGGACAAAGGCCGACGGATAACGGATGACGGATGGTCCGGTCGGTAACACGTCGAATCCGGGGTGAGTGGAGGTGAAAATGGTCTTTCGAGGTATTGCTATGATGTCAGCCTTGTCCGCGCAGCACACGACCAGCAGCAGCAGCGATAATATTCCCAAGAAGAGACGCGAGCCAATTCTTGGGTGAGCTGGATGAAGGAAAAAAAAAGGAATTGTGGGGATATAGACGGGGGAAGGTTTAAGTTCTCGTTTGTGGAAAAAATGAAAGAACCTACGGCCGATAAGAGGGCAACCGAGACGGAGCGACCAGGAAAAAACTAGGCCGCCAAGGATGGAGGTGTGAGAACGGGGCCAGGCACAGTCCAACCGACAAGGGACTTGATATTTCGCTTCAAGGAGAAGGGCGGGCTTGCTGGTGAAGAGAGCGGGCGGTAGAGTGGTTTAGTGTGACGTGCTCGTAGGTTAAAAGGATGTGCTGTTCTGGCACGATAGACCGATGTTGCGTTGATGGGTTGATGGGCTTGCCACGGGGGTCAGTACACATCACACGCTCACTCGGTAGGGATGAGAGAGCGCAAAAGGCGTTTGGCGGAGCGAACCGTGTGCGTAAGTAGGAGAAGGTTTTCACGGGAACAGATGAAGTGGGCGGCGGGAATGGGGGAAGGCTGCTTGATTGATGACGATGCGGCTGTCGAGTGAAAGATTGGCGCTTTGACACGGTGGTCTGCCGCAGAGTCAATTGGGCGTCTGGGTCGCTCCGACCTCCAGGTTGCTGGATCCAAACACGACTGACTTGGGCCCTAGGCAGGGGATGGGAAAGAGCAGTACAACAGGATCACGAATGGCAATTGCAGGTCAAACGTCGTGCGAAGATGTCGGAAAGCTTCTGTACTGTGCTGAAGGTGCTCAGAAGGCAGTGGGCGAGGCACCGCGAACAGGCACGTGCCTTTCTCAGTGTGGGGCACACATCAAGGCGACCTTTGGCTATCAGGTTCTGGACGCAAGATGCTGCCCCGCACTGATGCATCTCTGACAATGCCGCTTCCAGTTTCCATCCCTACCATCCGCGTACAACTTGATATCAGACACACCAAAACGGCTTCCTTACGTATCGATATCCTGCCGCCCAGCCAGCAAAGCTGTCGCAATCAAGAATGCCAGAAAGACAAGACTTGCATCCAAGACTGAGGGGGGCTCGGCATCTGGGCATCCAGGGGAGCAGCCCCCTATTTCTCTTAGCTACCAGCTTTTTCTTGGGTATCACCTGTCCCTCCATCAGGAGAGACACAGCCCGACGCCGTCTCACCCCATTGTTTCTGCCAAGAAGGTTGGAAGAACTCTAAACATCTTCTATGTCACAATACGTGCAGTGTGGGGGATAGACGGGGGGCACACCCTCACCTCGAGATGGACGGGCGATGATCTTGAGCAAGGCACGGGCGGGACGACGCTCAGCGGATGCTGTGCGATGCAACTCCTTCCGCTTGATGAGACGTCGAGATGTGTGCCCAATTGCGGGCCTCTGTGGGCCGGGGTTGATATCTTTGGATCCGCCGGTCAGGAACTGGTTTCAGCTTTGCTTTCCCAGCCCATTGCATCTGTTCAACCACCTGACCGTGTTTTTTCCCCATGGCTGTCCTGTTGTTGGGAAGCGGTGTACTGCAGCTGGCGCACATATCTGTCACTCGACAAGACAGAGTTTTTATGGGCACAGGCCATGATTCGACCACTGTCCCCCATCTTGAGATGCATGGCCTTCTGACCCTAGATTCCCGTCAAGCTGCCGCTGGTGGATGCGATGCGTGGGGGAGAGACATGCCTCTGCATTCCGGGGAAGACTTGATGTGAAAGTGACCAGCGCATTGGCAATGTTGAAGAAGCCGTCATCGTGGCAGTAAGCATTTCGCTCTCGGGGACCTCACTGAGGCAAAACGGGCATCTCTGCCTGCTGGGCATGAATGCTTGAAGAGGCTCTGACAGTTTGTGCCAGAGAATGAACATCACCTGGTCAATAGGTGGTGAAAGACAAAACTCGGTATGCCATGTTGTCAACGGCCGGACCCGATCCGGACCCGGGATTTTCGATGCCACCATCGAAACAGCCGGCCGGTCTTGGTCCCACCATGCCCGACCGGCTTGTCCTCCGATCTGAACTCTGCTGCCACCAAACTCACCGCTCGCCTGCTTGGTTTGTCATCTCTTGGCACTCGGTCGTCATCGGGCCAGACCCAAAAAACTAGCCCATGCCTCCCCGTTGTCTGTTCCGTCAGGGTGGGAACGACTCCGTACTTGTTCCAAATTTAGCTTGCTGCCCAGCCACCAGCCACCACCGTTTTCGCACGTTTTCGGCAGTGTTGCGCATCCCACTTCGGTCACCAGCCACCAAGATATCGTCAACACCACAGGTCCATACACTATTCGTACAGCCCAGTGTGGCAATGTACTCAGGAGAGAGTGCAATCCGGTGACTGTTTTGGAGATCATGGGTATGCAAACTCGAGATGGAGCGTTGTCTGAATCGTCCATCATCACGAGGCTGGGAGCGGATCAGCTTTTATCCCATGGTTGAGGCTGAACTGGGTGCATGCAAGTTTAGAGTTTTCCGCTAACAACTATATCCACTAACAAGCTCCGCCTTCAGCTGGCGTCAGCCATCAGATGCCCCACCTGCTCCAATTGCGCTGATGCCATCAGAACCGATACCGTAGTTGCAAACCATCAAGGGCCTTCAGGCTTTCTTATCCTCTTGTTCTGTTTCGCCCAGCTCGCGTCACTTCAGGCCTTTTGACAATTGCAACCGAATACGGCAACTGTGGCCGTTACGTCCACGCGTCGTTTAACCTCATTGCGGGGTAGGCCCCGAGTCCAATTGCCAATGAGACGAACCTACAGACAAAGGTCCCTGAAGATCTACATGCCATGAATCGTCCCCCCGAAGCTGTTGCCTTGATTTTGTGGTTCAAATGTCAATCTGGTAAAGAGTTTGAAAGCCCATCATCTTGACCATCCAGACCAACGGGAGCACTCCCGTCCGGCTGTACTCATGTCGAGGTGGCTACCGTTTCCGGTCAAAACATTTTCACTTTCACGGCCGCAGCTGGGCTGGAACTACTGGCTGACCGGGACAAACAAACAGTTTGAGGCGGCCGGTTTACTGGCCATTGGGTATCAAGTTGAGTGAAGAACTACAAGGCTCGGGGTGCTCTAGATGGAACTTCCTATTTCCGGGATGCAAGAAGAACGCCACACTTCTTTTTCTAGAGATCTGCAAATCCCATACCAAGCGAATGTGGGAGCCTCTGCGAAAGTGAGGATCGGACTTTATCAGATCTGTGTTTCGTCCCTTGAAGGGTGAGCAATGCGCAGCTCAGGATTTCCCGGGTGCTGCTCATGGGGCCTTGGCTGCTGGGAGGCCTAGGAAAAGAGCTTCTTTGAGGGTCCAAGGGCTGAAGATTCCCGCAGACGAGGACAAAACAGTGGGCCATTTCGTCACCCGCATGGAGGCGGAGACTGCGCCACCCGGCCCATTGGCACAGCCTTTTGCTAGCCTGCCATTCCTGTTGCTAGCAACCCTACCGGGTCGTAAGCAGGGCGAGTTGTCTTGCATCCGTGGGTTGACCCTTCCCTTTTATTTATCTTGCGACCACCCCTCTTCCTAACCTTCTACTACTCCGTCATTCTGCATCTACATTCTGTGTGAATTTTTTCACTCATTTTTCCCCTCCACCATCTTCAAGAGGGATATCAGAGGACCATCTCGCTATCGACTATCGTTAACGAAACCTTCAGGCTAACGTCGACCTCACCCCGCCTCGCCGTTGCCAAAACCCAAAACCGCCCAACCCAACCCCTCGTTATATCTGCAAACAACCCTTTCTCGAGAGGACAGCACCACAACATCAGTCAAAATGGCCAACTTTGGGCGCGTCGTCTGCGTCGCCCTCCCCTTTTTACTAACCCTCGCCTCCCTCATATCCCTCCTCGTTGCCGGCCTCGCGGGCGTAGCCGATAAGTCGTTATACATGTTTCAAGTAAACACAACCAACCTCTCCATCGACCCCATCACAGCCGCCAACCTCATCTCCAAAGCCACCGGCGGCAAGGACGTCGAGACGGTCTTCAACGACGCCGTAAACGACGCCCTCAATACCCGCCAGGACACCCAAACCACCAACATCACCGCCGCCGATCTTTCTCTCTATGACCTCTACGACGTTGGGCTTTGGGGCTACTGCTACACGCCTCAGAATGGCTCAAGAGAGTGCACCAGGCCCGCCTTTGACTGGGCCACTAACGTCCTGAACACCACCACTGGCGACCTCAACTCCATGTTGACCCTCACTGGTCAAAACGTCACCCTCCCCAAGGAAATCACCGACGCGGTCAAGGCCTTCTCTACCGTCTCCAAATGGACCCAAGTCGTCTTTATCATCTCCTACGTCGCCCTTGGCGTGGCTCTCTTCTTTGGCCTGTTTGCCAACTGTTCCAGGGCATTTAGTTGCATCACCTGGCTGCTCGCCGCTTTCGCCGCCGTTGCCGTCTGCGCCAGTGCCGCGCTCGCGACTGCCACCGCTGTCGTGGTCGTCGGAGCGGTAGAGGGCTCGGCTAAGATCTATGGTGTTCGCGCCGACTTTAACACGAGGTTCCTGGCCGCGGTGTGGATCGCTGCTGCGTTCGCTCTTGCGGCGGCGCTGTTCTGGGTGTTTACCATTTGCTGCTGTGCGCCCGAGAAGAGGAGCGGTCACAAGAGGAACAGGAGCAGTGATGAGGGGGAGAAGCTTATGGGTACCGGGCCGTACCAGAGGTTGGATCAGCCACAGGGGTATCAAGGTTATCAGCAGCAGTGGCCTGCGGCTACCGCTGGGAATGGGGGGTATGGAAGGCAGACGGGCGGTGCGTATGAGCCGTATTCTCATAGCAGGGTTTAAGGGGATTTAGGGGAGATTTTCTTTTTTGTGTCTATTGTTTACCTGATGAGCAAGCATTAATTGGGCGTTTTTCGGGATGGTTGTGCTTTGGCTCATCATCATGGGTTTATTGGGCGGGTTAAAGGAAGGGAGGGCTCGGGGATAGAGTCGGGTGGGCTTATGATTGATATGATACCCCAGCTATTCCAAGTATTGGGTAAATTCTTTTTACACTTTTTTGTATCTTGGTTTTTGATCATCGTGGTGATCTATGGTAAAGGAAAAATTTAGGATGGTCATTGTTTCATAACCCAACTTTGATATGTTCCTGCCTCGTGGCTTCATACTTCCAAACTTTGTGAATACATTTTGCTACAGGGTATGCTGGAGATAATCTCACTAAGATCGCCTGATGAGGATTGATTCTGCTCATCCTAGGGGTTTCCCTCCACTGTGGTACGCGCAATTCCACCGCACATTTCACTCAGCTCGCCTGGTGTTGGGCCAGGTTGGGCTTGCCCAGAAGGTTAGGTGTGTGTGGGCTTGGGCTGGAGGGTCCAGTGGGAAAGGTCCCCAGATACATGAAACACGGGGTTGGGTGCTGGGCAAGGTCTGGGCTTGCATGTGAGCCTGGGCTTCAGGTAGGAATGTGGCTCAGCAAAAGATGGGACCTTTGGTGGGTGGATGTTGCTTACGTCTGTCTTACGGGCGGGGATGGGTTTGTGGAAGTGAGGTGATAGGTGACGATGAGGCTTGAGATTGGACTGGGGGAGTATCGGACTCTGAGTATTACGCGGCCGAAGAAGGAACACGGACGCTGTATAACATCGTGTGCGAGGCTGTTACCATTAAGGATATCTCTGCAATGGGAGGGTTCATGTAAGATTTTAGCATCGAACCTGTCGTGGTTGTTCAGATGTTATATGGTATCTGGTAAAGCCTGGGTCAATGTTCTGCACGATGAAGCCCACGACGAGACCCCGCCCC